GCATTCCTGAAAGCTACTTCTTTGTCATTCTAAAACCATTCTGCCTCATATTCAATACAGCTGAAGGATCATCAGTCTTGAAATTGTTCCCCATAGAAAGGATTAGTTGTTCCTATATCTGAACTATTTTCACTTTAACGGAATAAGGGCTCCTCTGAGATGGTTGGTTTTATGGTCCAGCTGGGTAAGCTACACTTTCAGCTAAAGGCATTTTAGTTAATTGATAATTCTAATGAAGAGTATAGTTACACTATCACTAAGGTACTAATTCCACACCTCCCCCCCCCAAAAAAAAAAGTGCTGAAGACTTCATGCAAATAAAGGTGAATATGCATGTATTTTTTTTCAAAAGGTGCACCATGATGCTAAAATTGCCCTTTGCTGCTAGAAGGCTATTTACTGGCAAAGGATTAGAAATCTTTTCCTTGAAAGACTTGGAGAGAGATCAGCTGGTAAGAAAATTAAGAATGAATTTGGAAACGTTAATTATAAGTGTGTGTGATGAACTACATTCTATGGTATTCTAAAACTCTGCAGGAGGCTATATACTGGAATGTGTTATGGTTCCTTATTTCTGTTTGATTCAATATACCAGCTCCCTGGCTTCCCTCATCATTTTAGTACACTGTAGCTTCCTGTTCTTGACAGTGCTGATTCACTAGGAGACACATGAATGCTGAGATGGACCTTACTCGTGCCAGCTCTTTGTCATCAGAAATTCCATAGCCGGTATGTCAGTGTGAGATGGGGATCATTTGCATTCCTCCTGCACTGTGGGTTAGCAGCAGTATTGTAGTAATTCCCTGTGCCCATTTGTCCAAAGCTGTCAGTGGCAGCATTGCAGCTGAATGGGAATTGGAGGGGGGGGTGGACATTGGTGCATGGTCCTGCAAGCTCCAGTTGTTTTGTTGTTGTTGTTGTTTTTTGATAAAGGCTTTATTTACTCTCCTGAAAAGGAGAGGTATTTTGCTTAAATAGAAAAATAGGGAGGGTATATAGTGGGAGAAAGAGAAAGCTGAGTGATATATTAACTTGTAAATTAATCTGTTAGTAATGTCCAAGTTATCTTCTTAGGCTTCTTCTGTGTGCAGTCAAACTTCTTTCTTCAAACCAGTTAAAGGTGTTATCTATGTTAGTGTATTAGTAGTGTTCATTCGATGCTCTGTTAATTAAAGTTTCCTCAAGGCGCATTCAGAACCGCTCCTTCGCGTGCTGGCTTCTTTTAAATTCCCGATTTCATGGAGGGGCTTCTTCTGTTTCCCTCTCTCCGGCTTTTCCAGTCCTCCTCCGGGTCGCTGTTAACGCTTCCATTTCATGTACTGTAAATCCTCACTCTTTCATGCTCTTTCATGCCCTTTCAAAAGATCTCTAGCTCTGAGAATGGATTTTCTTTTTTTTATTATTCCAGTTTCACTTTTAAACGCTGCCATTCTCTTCGCTGGATCTTCCTCCGCAACTGTTGACTTTTAAAAGCGCTTGTAAGGCACTTTCTCGCTGTCACAGTTCAGCTTTTCTCACAGTTCCCCGCCAGAGTCACAGCCATAAACATTCCAAACATTAATCAGCCGGTTCTCACGAAAAAGCAAACGCCCAGACCGGAAGTTCCTCCCTTCTTCTCCGCTTGTCTTTTAGCCCAGCTCCGACATCTTATTATTTTTGTTTACTTTTAATAAAGTTCTTAAAACGCGCTCCAAAGAAACAGAAATTTTCTCGCTTTACTCCAAATGCATCAAAACAAATCACCACTACTCGCACAGTCCAACCCCCCCCCTTTATTGTCTCGCTAACGAAGTTAGAGGGTTTACCTCCTCGGCCGAGAAAGAGACTCCCCCCTAGTGCACCCTAACGCGCCCCGGATCCGAGCCCCTCTCCTGAGGGGCTCGTTTGGGTCTCCGCTCGCGCGGCTTCCCTCCTCCACCGCGGGCGGGTGAGATGCCCTCGGGAGCGACCCGAGGATGCGTCCGCCATTCGCGGGAGCCAAACCGGAAGCCCTGCAAGCTCCAGTTGTGATTGTGTCACTCAGGGCTTTTTTTTGCATAAAAAGCCCAGCAGGAACTCATTAGCATAATAGGCCATACCCAACAGCAGGAACTCATTAGCATATTAGGCCACACCCCTGACAGCTCAGCTCATTTGCATATCAGGGCACACCCCCATGTTACCAGAAGTGTGGTTATCCAGCCACACCCACCTTTTGCTTCTTATTCTCTTTATCTTGTTTGTTGTCAAAACCCAGGGCTTTTTCATGTTAGGCCACACACCCCTAATTGTAGCCAACCCGAATGAGTTTCTGCTGTTGGGTGTGGCCTATTATGTTAATGAGTTCCTGCTGGGCATGGCCAACTTGGGAGCCAGCCGGAACTCCGTTCCTATGTGTTCCTGCCCAAAAATAGCCCTGGTGTCACTACTGTCATTTTGGGAGGGAAACGGGAATGTATCAGGGCCAAACTAGATGTCAGGGTACCAGCACCATTTTATAGTGAGGGCCTGATTCTGATTGGGCCTGCAGCATGGTGGCCCAAGGAACTCTTGTCCTCTGCCCTCACCTTATCAAGTGCCCAAATGGGTGTCCCCCCCCGGGGAGAAAACAGGAGAGCTGCTCTGAGGGCCCAATCAGCATGGATCCCACAGGGCATTTTAAATACTTGGCATGGAAAGTATAAAACGCTAAAATGATTGGGAAACTCTCATCTATCTGTGTATATTCCTGGTTGTGCCTTAGCAAAGGTCTCTCAATGCAATCTACTAAAGCTTGACTCTCTGATAGCACCTTATAGAGCATAAATTTAACTTGAAGGAGAATTATCCTAACAAAAACTCCTTAGCTGGGGAAGTGCAACAGGAACAAAGTTTCAAGTCTAGTTTAGAATATGGAGTTCTTAAATGTATGTAGGCTTCATTTATATTCATAAACATGCACAGGGCAACAGAATGAACTAACTTTTAAAATTCTGGCTTCCTCTTTATAAATCAAAGGAGATAAATATGTGCTCAGTTGGTTGAAAGATGCTGCATGTCACTCAGCTGAGCAAATGAGGACAAAACAATTACTTTCTATTTATTTATTAATTCTAATATTTATACCTCACTTTTCCTTTTGGCCCAAGGTAGCATACAAACAATAATTAAAATAGTTCAGATGAAAACCAAATAACCCCTCCAAGTGCTGCTCATACCCCTTCAAAAGTCCTGGCAACCAAAGAAGACTTGCAGCATTGACTAATGATCTCTAACGAGGGGCCTCCTGTCACCTCTTCACCTCTCACCTTCACCTCTATTCCACAGTATGGGAGCGATGAGGGAGAAAGCTCAGGTGGGTCACCCTGAATGGGGGAAGAGTCATCAGGTAGCAGCCTGGTGACTGTAGTGGGCACATGGGAATACATGGGAGGAGACAGTCCTTCCGATATGTGGGTCCCAGGCTACGAAGGGCTTTAAAGGTCATAACCTGCAACTTGAATTGAACTTGGAAACAAACTGGCAGCCAGTGCAGCTGTTTCAAAATGGACAAGATATGTAAGATTTGTCACTTTAGTGAGCAATGGAGTTTCTTAAATGGTTTTCAAAATATTTTTTGGCTTTTTTTAATCTTAGGAATTGCAATGTTAAAGTTATTACGTAATAAAATCACTCTGTTATTCTCCCATGGTTCTAACGACTGAAATATTCTTAAACATAAATATGGCTCTGATCAGACGCAGAAGTTGCCACGGGAGCGGCACGAATGCCGGGCGGATTATAAAGGTGCGATCACACAGCAACATCTGGCCAGCGTAGCGCACCCGTTTCAGCCAGCCAAGGATGCGGAGTAAAACGCTACCTCCGAAAGTCCACTAGCAAATGGCTTGTGATGGGCCGCTGCCGGACTCTCCTTGTGTGATCGCTCCAGCGCGCTCCTCTTGCGTCATTGGAGCGTGCTGGGAACATGTGCCAATGAAGGAAACTGCTGTCGCGTCTGATCGCGTTTGCAGCGGGACACACTGTGCCATCGCAAACAGCCATGCCATGAACGGGACCTATTACTTTCTTCCTATATGAATGTGAAACAAACAAATGCATCATTTTTGTAACAGGTTTACATTTCATGTGGAGAACAGTGGATTGATCCACATTTGATCATGGCCCAGAACAAGAAACTCCTCCAGTTGAGTAATTTAATGTCTGATGTGACGGCTGTTCGTGCGTACTGTGTCATGCGTAACCCAAAAAGTAAGCATATCACAATCTCTACTGTTCTTGTAAAATGTATGTTTAATATATGCATATAAGAAAAACCAAGTGTGGTTAAGATAAGAATGGGAAAGTCCTATTGCTTTCACTAGTTGGGAGGACTTCAGCACATGTTTACATTTCTCTGATTAAAAGCAATGATATTTATTAGTGGCTCAGTTGAGACAATATACAATCCCTGGTTTATTTAATTCTAGTTGGTTTCATTATATTTGGTAGATGATTGTTCAAATCCTAATTGACTTGACAAATCCTGGTTGAATAACCATTATTCTTCCTGTGGCCTCTTGCACAAAGATCTGGTTGTTACCCCAGCCTGCAATATTGCCAAGGGTGGCACCAAGGAAGAAGCCAGAATTATGGCATATGAAACTGTAGTGAAGACTAGCTAAAGGTAAAGGTTTCCCTTGCTCGAAAGCCAGTCAAATCCGACTCTAGGGGGAGGTGCTCATCTCCGTTTCCAAGCCAAAGAGCCAGCGCTGTCCAAAGATGTTTCCATGGTCATGTGGCTAGCATGACTAAATGCAGAGGCACTCGGAATGCTGTTACCTTCCCACCGAAGTGGTGCCTATTTATCTACTTGCAATTTCTTGCTTTCAAACTGCTAGATTGGCAGGAGCTGGGGTCAGAGATGGGAGCTCACTCCATCACGCGGCACTAGGGTCTCGAACTGCCAAACTACAGACCTTGTGGCCTGCAGCTCAGCATCTTAACCTTTGAGCCAATAAACCAACATCAAACTATGGTTTGACGTGCCCCTAATTATATTTAGTCTATTTAAGCCATGGTTTCTTGTCATGTCATGTCTTGCAATGTCTAAACAAGTCAGTACTGCTTAACAGTGACTGGATTATGCTCTCTGTATTAAGTCCTGAACATATTCTCAGTTGGTTTAATGTTTTTGTTACCAAGACTATGAGTTCTATAGCTCAAGATGAACCTGTTTTTCTCTTTAGGCTCAGTCCAGTTGTGTAACTTTCTTTCTGTTACTAGGGTACATTCTGGTTCCCAGCCATGTATAAGTGCCCAGAATGTAACTCTTTGTTTCTTGAAACATGGATACTCCACACTCAACCCCCGTCCCCATCTGCTACACCAATGGGTAGTTTTCTAGTGACTTTCTGGGTGCGTTCAGACGGGGCGTTTCAGCCGGCATAAACTGTACCGGTTGGAACCGTTGCAGTTTATGCCGGTTGAAACGCGATCACACTCACCTCCAGCACATCGCAATATGCCCGTCCACACCTCAGGCACTCAGGAGAGCACATCGGCATTTTTTATTTTATTTTTACAGAGTTTGCACATGCGCATAGGCAGGCTTCCTTCTAATGAAGCCGATCGGCTGCCGCTGGGCTCTGGGCGCGTGCGCTGTTGTTTTATTGTTTTTTTGACAGCAAATGGAGCCGGGAAGGAGGGAGGGGGTGAAGAGCACGGGCAAACGAGGCCGGGCAGGGAGCCTGGAAAGGCAGTCTCCCGGGGAGGAGCTGCCGGCTCCTGCAGGGGAGGCAGCGGAGATCCTTGCACTTGCGTTGCCCCCTCCCACCTCTCCTCCCTCTTTTTTTTTTGGCATGCGTGAGTCAGGCCCGCCGCCGGCTGCCCATTGACGAACTCCCCTCCCTCGCCGCTGCCCCGGAGGAGGAGAGTTAGTCCACAGCAGCCGAGGAGGAGGAGGAAGGAGGGAGGAGGAGGGCAGGGCGGAATCATGAAAAACACTCTGCAGCCGCAGCCAGAGCAAAAGCGGCTGCAGCAGCAGCAGCAACAGCAGCGGTGGGCAGGGGAAGAGGAGAGGCGGCTTTGCAGAAGCACATAACAACCTTTTAATTTCTTTATTAACAACGGGGCGAAGCTTCGCCCAAGCGCATATCGCCAACCTAGATAAAATGGCGGGCAAAAAGCGGAAGCCTCAGGCTTCCAAACGGAAGTGCCTGTACAACGTTGGAGAGCGTTCAGACGGAGGGGTACAGCGATTACAACCGTTGTACTCAGGATACCACCACTTGGGGACCTAGTGGCAGAGTACAACGGTGTAAAGCTGTTTACAACGGTTAGGGACGGGAGGCAGATGTTCGCTGTGTGAACGCCGGTAAGTACACCGGTTGGAACCATCACCTATTCCGTTGTAGATCCCCCGTCTGAACGCACCCTCTGTGTGGGAGAAAATAGGAAGCACACATATGATTGTAAAGTTTCAGTTGTGGGGAGTTCCATAACATTAACAACATCTTAAATCTCTCACAGCCAGGTAGATGCCTTTCTCACAGTGTAATACTACAAGTCCTGTTGGAATTATATGACTGTCACTCAAGAAGTGCTATTTGGCCCTAACTAACAGCAGAGTAGCAGGAGCCAGTGTGGACTGTGGTGCTGAAGAAGAGGGTGGTTTACTCGTCCCTCCCATGTCATTTATCTGATTTAAAAAACTGTTTGAAGGTGTAGTAGGGAAGAGAGTAAGGTATCCTCTTTCCCCCTACTTGGACTTAAGCCAGCATTTTCATTTGGTGGAATTCTCAAAGGTGAAGTTTAACGTCTAAAGTTCAGTACTGAGATACTGTTTTCTTGTTTATTCATACCCTACCTTTCTCTCCAATAGAGACCTAAAGGATTCTTCCAGCATCATTGTCAGCAAGCTGCCATTCTGTTTTCTGTGACCTCTGTGTACATATCCTTACCCTGTTGCACCCGGCTTGTTTCTACTATCCTGCTTCTGTGCTGGAATGCATAAGATAACTACTGGTGGATGTGTGGGGGAGAAGATGCTGTAATGCTTGCCTATTGCTATCTCATGAGAACTGCACCTGTGTTTTGTCTGATGTTCTGCCTGGTTCCCATGGACTGGGCGCGCAACCGTTTCATTAGCCCGCCAGCGGGAATATTATTCATTGGATATGTATCTGTTTGAATTTCCTTTATTATGCTCGCCCTACCTGTGTATCCCCAGTTCTAACAAAGAACGTGTTTGAGTATGTCTTCAACGCTTTGAAATAAATTTTGCTTTTCTTGAAAACGTGGATTTATTCTCGATGCTTGGGGATCCAACATATTGTTAGAACTCCCTTTCTCCTATCGTTCCGAATCTGGCAAGATCATGAGCGGAGCTGAGGGAGACCTACCGAAAACGGAGGGGGATTCAGGATCGGTCCCACACACCTCCGCTCCTTTGGTGACGGCAGCCTCGCTGGAGGGTGCCGTGGGGGGAACGATTCCCCGCCGGCCTGCACATCTGTCTTGGCCGCCTCCGACCCCTTCGCACTGGGGTCCGCGGAAGACTCAACAGCAGGATGACTGGACTATGTACAACACTCAGGGCACCCGAGAGGTGTACTCCCGTCGAGGGAGCGGATTACGTGAAAGTCTGTTTGACAAGGGATTGTTCCCAGAGCCGGGGGCTACCTCGGAGAAGGGGTGTTCTGAGCAAGACCTCGAAGAGTGGATGTTCGAACCATCGGGGCCCCGAGGCCACGTGCGTTGGAATGCACAAGATAACTGCTGGAGGTTGTGTGGGGGAGAAGATGCTGTAATGCTTGCCTATTGCTTTTCTCATGAGTCCTGCACCTGTGTTTTGTCTGATGTTCTGCCTGGTTCCCATGGACTGGGCGCGCAACCGTTTCATTAGCCCGCCAGCGGGAATGCTATTCATTGGATCTGTATCTGTTTGAATTTCCTTTATTATGCTTGACCTAACTGTGTATCCCCAGTTCTAACAAAGAACGTGTTTGAGTATGTCTTCAACGCTTTGAAATAAATTTTGCTTTTCTTGAAAACGTGGATTTATTCTCGATGCTTGGGGATCCAACATATTGTTAGAACTGGGGATACACAGCCGCCGGCGGGACCGCCTCAGCAAGGGCCTGTGCAACAGCCGATGCCGGGGGGTCCGCCGGTGCCGGGTCTGCCGCCGCCGATGAGGCCAATGCCAGCGGGGCCACCGGTTGGTCCGGGTCTCCCTCTCAGGGGAGTTCCGGGTCAGCTGGGACCGTTGGTAAGGCCTCCACGGCCCAGACCCAAAGATCTACTGGAGGCTACCTTTGACGGCAACCCAGATGAACTCGCTTTCTTCACGGTGAGAGTGCATAAATTCGTAGAAGAGAGCCGACACCTGTTCCGAAATGAAGCTGGCCTTATTGATGTCATCTCGGCGAGACTGAAAGGAGACGCCGCCACATGGTATGTTGGACTGCACAATGACCGCGGTCCGGAACTTTTGAATTTGCGAGCATTCATGTGGGCGCTGCGGGCGAGGTTTGAAGATGTCAACGCGAGCCAAAGAGCTAAAGCGTTTCTCCGCACCTACCGCCAGAACAAGAAGTCGGTTCGCGAGTACACTCTGGAATTCCACAAGCAAGCAGCTAAGCTCCGAGACTACCCTGATCATATATTGGCTGAGATGTATCGATTGGGACTCAACGCAGACATCCGAGAAACGGTTCTGAAGACTGTCAATCCTGTCTCCCTGATGGCCTGGACCCAGGAAGCTGAAAATGCAGAGGATCGGCTCAACACCATCAAACTCGACCTGGCTGCTACGACCAACAGACCCGCCGCTGCCAGTGCCTCCAGACCCAAGACTCAACGCCTGTCGGAATCGGCACGAGAACTACGTATGAAGATGGGGCTCTGTCTCAAGTGCGGGGAGAAGGGGCATTTCGCTGTGGATTGTGGCAGCCGTCAGGTAAAAGACAAGCCGCCTACTCCGAGCCCTAAGACGCCACTGACGGGGACGAAGGGGATGGCTAAACCGCGTTTCTCCAAAGCTCTGCAGGCGGCCCAAGGTCCGGAGGGAACCGAGCCGCCCACTGCCGGGTCAGAAGAGGAGGTAGAGGTTGAACCGGCGGAAAACGACAACGGCCTGTTGTGAGAGGCGCAAAACGACACGGCCATTCTAGTTCTGCGCCCAAGGTGGTGAGAGAAACCCCTTCCCTGTTTTTCGTGACTGTCTCGTTAATGAATCCGCTCCTGGGGACCCACGTTAGGGTGAGAGCGTTGATTGATTCTGGGTGTGGGAGGGATCTCATCAGCCCTAGAGTGTTATTGGCACTGGAAGCGGGGATAGTCCCCTTGAAGTCTCCCATCATTTTTACCCAAATGGATGGGGCGCCCATGGAACCTTGTACGCATGAGACTATGGCTTTGCGGTTGGGGGCTGGCGATCATTGGGAATCCAGGACCTTCATTGTTACCCCTAAGTCGCAGTTTGATTTGGTACTGGGGAGTCCCTGGCTTTTTACCCATGACCCTTACATCTTGTGGGAAGAAGGGGTTGTCAAATTTGTGTCGGCTAAATGTGTAGATCACTGCTGGTTGGATTCGTGGGGGGACCGGCCTGCCGCGCAGTTCCCCTGCGGCGCTTTGAAGCCGGAAGAGTTAGCGTCTTTGCCTCGAGAGTATAGAGACTTGGCGAAAGTGTTTGGCGAAGATGAAGCTAACGAATTGCCCCCCCATCGCTCTACTGACTGTGCTATTGAACTCTTGCCTGATTGTAAATTGCCTAAAGGTAAAATCTATGCGATGGGGCCGGCTGAGAAAGTTGAACTGCGGAATTTTATTGATAAAAACTTGGCCCGCGGTTTCATTCGTCCGGCTTCCTCCCCTTTCGCCGCGCCGGTTCTCTTCCGGAAGAAGAAAGACGGGGGGCTCAGGTTGTGCACGGATTATAGGGGTTTGAACGCTGTTTCTTTGTCCAATGCCTACCCCCTCCCGCTAATCAAGGACTTGGTAGCTGAGGCCACCAAGGGCAAAATCTTCTCGAAACTTGACCTCCGAGATGCATATTTCCGTGTGCGCATTCGGGAGGGGGATGAAAGTAAGACTGCATTTAATACCCCTTTGGGGCAGTTTGAGTACCTCGTTATGCCCTTCGGGCTTCAAGGGGCTCCGGGGGTCTTCATGAACCTAATCAATGAGGTCCTACATGAGTTCTTGTTCAAAGGAGTGGTCCTTTACCTTGATGACGTGTTGCTGTACTCTCAGGACCTCCCGTCGCATATTAAATTGGTGCGCCAGGTCCTTAAGAGGCTTTATGAGCACAACCTGTTCGCCAAACTGTCTAAATGTGAATTCCACCAGCCCTGCATTGACTTTTTGGGTTATCGCATCTCTGGGGGGAAGGTGGAAATGGACCCTGCTAAAATACAGGCCGTGCTTGAATGGGAACCCCCCAGAACCCGCAAACAATTGCAAATGTTCCTCGGATTCGCCAATTTTTACAGAAATTTCATCCAGAATTTCGCTCAAATTGCCCTTCCTCTAACCGATTTGTTGAAAACCAAGGGAAAGGGGTTTGATGCTACCAAACCAGGCGCCCCACTTAAATGGTCCCCTGCTTGCGCGGAGGCTTTTGAGAAACTTAAACGTATGTTCACGTCTGAGCCCGTGCTGGCGCGCCCTGATGAAACTAAAAAATTCATTGTCCAGACTGATGCTTCGGATGTGGCAATGGGGGCCGCTATTTTGCAAGAAGGGGAAGATGGTCGTTTACACCCCCTTGCATTTGTGTCTAAAAATTTTTCGGACGCTGAACGAAACTGGGGGATTTGGGAGAAGGAGGCGTCGGCTATCCGGCTGGCTCTCTCCACTTGGAGGCAGTGGTTGGAGGGGGCTCAACTGCCATTTGAAGTCTGGACTGACCATAAAAATCTTGAAATGCTGAAATCCCCCCGTTCTCTCAACGCTAAACAACTTCGTTGGGCGGACTTCTTTGCTAAGTTTTGATTCACTCTTCGTCATTTCCCTGGGACGGCTAATTCCCTGGCTGACGCGCTCTCACGCCTCCCACAACATGACAGTCAGCGTGAAATCATCATGGACTCTGTTTTTTCCCCCTCCCACCTGGGGGGGGCTGTGGTCACCCGTGCGCAAGCGCGCTCGATTCCGCGCTCTGATGAAACTTCGCCTTCCCTTTTCCCTGTGGGGGGGGGGCCTGGGTCCAGAAATATGTTTCTGCTTTTACTGATGAAGATAATGCCTCCCTGCGGGCATTGCCGGATTATGTCCGTAGCCCAGAAGGTCTGATTTATTCTGGGGACAAACTGTATGTGCCTATTTCAATGAGGAGGGAAGTGATGGATTCTGCTCATGGTTCCAGACTGGCAGGACATTGGAGTTTTGTTAAATCACTGCAACTCATCCGCAGACAGTTTTGGTGGCCACACATGCGCAAAGACCTATTGACTTTTGTTCGATCCTGTCAGACCTGTGCCTTAACTAAACCCAGGGGGGGCAAGCCTCCCGGTCTTCTGCAACCACTCCCTACTCCATCGAGGCCTTGGGAAGTGGTGTCCATGGACTTTATTACTGACCTCCCTGTGAGCAAAGGGAACACTGTTATTTGGGTGGTTGTTGATTTGTTTTCTAAGCAAGCTCATTTTGTGCCTTTTCCTTCCTTGCCTACAGCACAGAAGTTGGCGAAATCGTTTATGTCTCACGTGGTGAAAATTCATCAATTACCTGCTAAATTAATTTCTGACAGGGGGACCCAATTTGTTTCTAAGTTTTGGAGGGAACTTCTTTCCATTTTAGGGGTGGAACAAGGGCTCAGCAGCGCGTATCATCCTGAGACTGACGGACAAACAGAACGAGTGAATCAGACCCTGGAGCAATATCTTCGTTGTTTTACTAATTATCAACAAAATGATTGGTGTGAATTGTTGCCTCTTGCTGAATATTGTTATAACAACACTGTCCATAGCTCCACGGGCATGTCTCCTTATAAAGCTGTTTCTGGTTACGACAGCCCCCCCTCCCTTTCCTGGAGGGGATGGGCCAACGTCCCGTTGGGGATGCTAATACTTGGTGTACTTCTTTGCAAAATGCATGGCCTCTGCTATGCCAAACGCTTGACGCAGCCAAGGCTGCTTACAAGGCCCAGGCAGACAAGGGTAGGGTGGTGGGGTTTGATCTGAAACCTGGGGATCTTGTGTATGTCTCGACCAAGAACATTAAAATGCTGCGACCTAGCAGGAAATTGGGGTGGAAGTTCATTGGTCCATTCAAAGTGCGTAAAGTCATAAATAATGTGGCGGTTGATGTTGTTTTGCCTAAGAATTTACGTGCTCTGCATTCTGTTTTTCACATGAGCCTGTTGAAGAAGGATCCTGGCCCGTCTCCCTGGAGACCATCGGTTACTCCTCCTCCACCTGTCATTTTGGAAGGGGATCAACATTTTGAGATCGCTGATATCCTGGATTGTAAATTGAAACGTGGTAAACTCTGGTACCTTATCGAATGGGTTGATTTCAGTCCCCAACACCGCGAATGGGTGGAAGAAGGGGATATTCGGGCCCCTTACATGATCCGTAGTTTCCACAAGAGGTTCCCGGACAAACCGGGAGGTCTCCCGCCCAGCCCGGGAGATCTCCCGCCCGACCCGGGAGGTGTGTTTTAGATGTATTTTAAGGGGGGCAGTATGTCAGCAAGCTGCCATTCTGTTTTCTGTGACCTCTGTGTACATATCCTTACCCTGTTGCACCCGGCTTGTTTCTACTATCCTGCTTCTGTGCTGGAATGCATAAGATAACTACTGGTGGATGTGTGGGGGAGAAGATGCTGTAATGCTTGCCTATTGCTATCTCATGAGAACTGCACCTGTGTTTTGTCTGATGTTCTGCCTGGTTCCCATGGACTGGGCGCGCAACCGTTTCATTAGCCCGCCAGCGGGAATGTTATTCATTGGATATGTATCTGTTTGAATTTCCTTTATTATGCTCGCCCTACCTGTGTATCCCCAGTTCTAACAAAGAACGTGTTTGAGTATGTCTTCAACGCTTTGAAATAAATTTTGCTTTTCTTGAAACGTGGATTTATTCTCGATGCTTGGGGATCCAACAATCATTTGCCCCTCTCCCATTGTATCCTCACAGCAACATCCCTGTGAAATAGTTTAGGCTGTAAGAGAGTGACTGGCCCAAGGTGACCTAGTGAGCTTTCATAGTAGGTCTGGCAATTCAAATTTGGGTCTCATGGATCCAAGACTGACATTCCAACCACTACACCACACTGTCTCTACACATAAATCTTCCTGTAGAAACATCATCTGCTATTTTGAAAATATAGTTTGCCTTTTAGCATGTTTGTTTGGCAAGAAACCTCGTCTGTACCATTATTTAAATAAAAATATTTTTGTGTACATTTCTCTAGACCTTGCTTTAGAGGTAAAGAATCATATTGTTGGAACCAAACTTTCCATTGAAAGAACTATAGTGGGTTTTGAAGAGGAAAGGGTTTTTGAGGAGTTGGAGGGAATACAAGCTGAAGGAAACACTAAAAATGTTGAAGACAAAACAGATGAATGTTTGTAAGTAATCTTAAATTATGGAACAGCTGTGGTGTATATATTTAAACAGACTTTGGGAGGGAGGTATTAGACATTCTAGAAACAAAAATGGCATTTATAAATGTTCAGATGTGTTATACCTATGTCTACTGTCCCTACTGTGAAAGTGACCCTCTAGTGTGATGTTATAAAATAATGCCACAAAATAGAATTTGACAGTTCTGTTCTCTAATGTGATTTTATTTTAAAAACCCACACAACTACAGAATGAATTCATAATACAGATTCTTACAGAATCTTTATCTTGAAGCTTTCATATCTGGCATCATGACAACTTTTAATTAAAACTTTTGGGCTTTTAGGCCATGTTCTCTGATAAAAACTTATCTTACTAGGACAGCAAACTGTCTAGTGAGGTAAGTTTTTATCAACAAACACATCCTTAAAGCCCAAAAATTTGCTGCTTATGACTCTGGTTGCAAAAAACAGTAATAATAAATAAATAAATAAATAAAATAAAAGCCCAAAATTGTTAATTAAAGATAGTCTTACAAAATCATTAGGTGTGGTTTCCCAGAGATACCTGAATCCCAGGAATGTATATGTGGGGACTTCATAAAATTATTTTTACCCATTCTATATCCATAGTGGACACTGGGGAACCTTATCAAATCCCTGGGTGTACTTTCCCAAGGATTCCTGAATTGCAAGGTTGGGGGGCCATCTCCCAGCTCTTGACACTGTGCCCTCAACTGTCAAGAATCTGGGTGTGATTCTGGATGCCTCCTTATTAAAGGAGGCCCAGATCACAAATGTTGCCAGACCAGCATTTCTCCAGCTGCTCCAGGTCTGACAACTGGCCCCCTATCTGTTTCGCCCTGACCCAGCCATAGTAATCCATGCAATGGTCACCTCAGATTGCACTACTGTAACTCGCTCTACATAGGGCTAACCTTAAGACTGACCTGGAAACTCCAGCTGATCCTGAATGCGACAGCACAGTCCTCATGGGGACTCTGCATACGGCACATTTCCAACCTGTGCTTTTTGAGCTGCACTGGCTTCTGGTAGAGTACCGAATCAGGTTCAAAGTTATGGTATTAACCTTTAAGACCCTTAACGGTTAGGGACCCATGTATCTTCAGGATCGCCTCTCCTGCTATACCACCCAGAGAGCGCTACGCTCAGCTGATAAGAACCTGCTGGTGGTCCCCAGCCCAAGAGACATCCAGCTGTCCTCGACCAGGGCCAGGGCATTTTTGGCCGTGGCCCCAACCTGGTAGAACAGCCATTGCTGTTTATTCAGATAAAACTCCCATTGACACAAGGGGGGGGGTTCTTGTTTTAGTTCTTAACATCCTTTTGAAATTCAGCTTTAATAGATTATTGAGATCTCCTTGTGAAATCTAAATTGACAATGAGTTTCATATAGAGTTTAACATCTTTTTAGGAGTTCACACGCAAGGTCCCATCTTAAAGTTGATAAATATTGTACAACTCCTAAATATAATTGGCAGCAAAATTCTAATGCTTATGAGGAGGACAGCAGCTTCCAGAAGGAGAAAGGTGAAGAGTTCTTCGAAAGTGTGGAATTAGATCAAAAATACAGGTCAGATATGTATATTTTATGCATGGTAAAATGATCTTCCTTCTTTTGCATCTAAATTTTCTTCAATGACATTATTGCTACTAGATTTTTATAACTACACAATCTATAACAAGGAAAATCTTTGGAGGGGCTTTAAACAAGGAGCAATCAAGGATGATGAATCTGATATTTCTGTATATGTGACCCTATTAAATATACACTGTAGTAATATACTATAGCCAATTTCCTTAGGGTGACAGTACTAAGAACGTCAGATATGCATCGTAAACCTAGTAAGCCAGGTACAGAATGCAGAGCTTTCAGTTGTGCACTAATTGCATGCTATAAAATTCTAATGGAAATAAGTTTTGTGAGTGGCCAAGTTAAATCTTCTTAATATAGAGCTAAGGATGTTTGAGCACCAGTCAGTTCTCCTAATGTTCTGCTCACCAGTTTTAAACAGGAAGCCAATTTTTTATCAAGCAGTTCAACTGTGTGAGAGTAGCTTGAGCCTGTTCAACATATAACTTTCCACAGATTCAAACAGTACAGAGTAATCAGCAGTATTTGAATCATACACAGTCTAGTCCAACAGCACAATGGGAAACGTAGTCTTCCTCTACGTGTGGAGACCCGTCATCACTGTGTGCCACTCTACAGCCAATAAACAGTGAGCAAACCAGTAGTTCAGCTATTTATCAATAAAAAATGACTTGCTATTTGGTATTCACCTAAGTCTAAGCTATTGACATCATTTGTTTTTGCATGTGCATTTTTGTGTAGTCTTATGGGAATCATAGTTTTTCCTTCTTCCTTACTACAACATTTAATTACTTGACATAACTATCCATGTCTCTGGGAGAAAACTGACTTCATCTACTGTACAAGTACAAAAATAATCATAGGGCAGAAAAGAAACTCCAAATCTACTGTACAGTTGCAAAGCTATTTAGCACACCGCTCAAATCCAATAATGGCAGGGGAGGAGGAGCTGAGGCTTAGCTCAAGAGTACTTGGAGCTGTTGAAAACAGTATGATCACTTACTGAACGTGTTCATTGTGAAGATCTTGTCATTCCTAGTTAGAACTAAACCTATATCTGGATATGTTAGGCCCCCACCAGAATGCGTAAATGTCATGTTGAAGTCTATTACATTTGGTTTATGAGTTAAGAGGTGTACCTTTTTTGGCAATAAAAACACACCCTGAGCCCCATTCCTCATCCAACCATTGTGATTACGCTAAGTATGAAAATTAATCTCTGTAACAAGAAGGAATGGTAGAGGACATATTGCTTTCTTCATTAGGAGTGGGAGACAATTGCACCTGAGTTATTTGAAGCCCTCAGCCTCTCATTCCCAGCAACCTTTTAACAATCTCCTAAAAGGCCATTTCTGTCTGAGCTCTGAAAACCACACAGGTGTTTTCCAGGAACACTGATATAACAATATTAGAGTTTGGAAGAGAAGACATTTCAGATAATATGGCTTAGTGGAAAGGATAAAAGAGGCAGGAGGGTAAATAAAGAACCAGCATGTGTGTTCTTTGACTAGCAAGAACAGTCAAAAATGTTATCATAAAAAACATGTTTTTAGAGGCATTGAGTTTACATTTCATATAATATTTGGGGGATAATTTTATTATTCTCTTGGCAATTCTCTATCATTTGTACTTCTTTTGCTGTGTTCATTCTCTGTTACTATATGTTCTAGCATCACTACTTAAAAATCAAGACAGGCTGAAGAGATTTGCTGGATGGCATTCAAGTTTGTCTTCCTTTTAGTCCCCTACCCCCCCCCCAAAAAAAAGAAGACACCAAGACTGGGTTATGCAATGGGCTAACTATTTACCCAATTAGTGTGAACACCCTTAGAGACTACCTAACAGGTTTGTCAGCATTTGTGAAATCCTACCCTGGCTTCAAGCCCACTGTACTACGTAGCTGAAGAGAAGAAGAGATGGGATTTATACCCCGCCCTTCACTACCCAAAGGTGTCTCAGAGCAGCTTACAAACTCCTTTCCCTTCCCCTCCCCACAACAGACACCCTGTGAGGTAGGTGGGGCTGAGAGAGCTCTTTAAAGAAACTGCTCTTTTTCAAGGACAGCTCTTATCAGAACTACGGCTTGCCCAAGGTCATCCAGGCAGGGGCAAGTGGAGGAGTGGGGAATCAAACCCGGTTCTCCCAGATTAGAGTCGGCGCACTTAACCACTACACCAAACTGGCTCTCAGCTGAGCATCACTTGTCCTTGCCTGCAACCAAAACTGTATGAAGAGATTCTGCCTATCAAGACAATGGTCACTATGAAAGCTCAGGTGTTAACCAACAGCACCAAGAGAGTTCCCTCCCCATGCACTCGGACAGCCTAAACTGACCTAAGATACCTCCATGTGCTCGCTGATCTAATTTACATAGTAACAAGCCTGCATTAAACATAATACATTCATTGCTCTAACCAGGCCCTATTTAAATGGGGCATTACCAGTCTGCTCTGACCAGCTCCATCCCACACCATAGAGTATGAGGCAGGCAAAAAAATTGTTGGGTATTACAAGTTAAATTACACTCAGTGTATCTGGGGTTAAATGTGTTGTCACAGGAAATCACATGTTTCCCATGTAACCAATGTTAGTTTAGGACTACAAGCCCGGGAAAATTCTCCCTGATCTAGGAGTTTCATTGGAAGTAAAGTGTCAAGGTGTTTTAGCATTTTATGGCTCCTCTTCCCATCTTTGTTTTGCTGTTCTCAAGGAGAAAGAAAGAGTAGCCATAATTGCTCTCTTCTAGTCTTGTCTTTTGTAGTGTAAAGCTGTAGGGAATTTAGCTCCGTTGTTATTTTCATCCCAGTTACCCTTCCCTATGCTAGAATGTAGTAAAAACTTTCTTTTTAAACACACATGGACTCTCAGTCTAAATTATTTTACTCTGGCACTGCTAAGCTATTTTATCTCTGCTAAAAACCAATTTTAGACTGACTCAGGGCCAATATGGAGCAGAGGTCCATCAGTGGCTATTAGCCACAAGGTATAGATAGGGACTCTGGGGCAAGTGATGCTCTGTCATCTTGGTGCTTGGGGGGGTCAACAGTGGGAGGGCTTCTAATGTCCTGGCCCCACTGGTGGACCTCCTGATGGCACTGGTATTTCTGGCCACTGTGGGATACAGAGTGTTGGACTGGATGGGCCTTTGGCCTGATCCAACATTGGCATCTCTTATGTTCTTATGTAACCAAATAATTCCTGCGTGATCCAGAAGCGGCCACTAGTTCCATACCATACTTAAAGGGAGGGATACTGGGGCACCTCTTTCAGCAAAAAGGTGGGAAGGTGAGAAAGTGCTGGCTTTTAATAAACCACAAGGGCTTTCCAACTGACTGAGTAGCATGCTATCCTGCCCACCCTGGTAGTCTGTTCCCTTTTAAAAGAGAGTGGGCAACAAAATGACTCCTACTGAGTGTAGGAACTAACCATTCCCCAGTTTCAAGCAAGTGTAATACTGCTCAAGTAAAGGTAGCATTTAATCCTCTGTGCTGTACAGAAATATGTTTTCTAAGACTCCAATGGACTTGGCAGTTTCAGGACTTCACCGTACAGGATTACACTGCTTGTCAGTAAACTCCTCTGTGCTGTTCACCAGGTCCTTTCTATAGTTTCAGTTGACCTTTCCTTCAGGTCATTAATAATTTTAATTAAGTGCTGTCAAGTCAGAACCAACTTATAGCAACCCTTAATGGGGTTTTCAAGGGAAAACATGAGCAGAGGTAGTTTGTCATTGCCCCTCTCTGCATAGAGAGTACTAAGCATGACCAACCTTGCTTAGCTTCCAAATGCTGACAAGCTTGGACTATTCTAGGCTATTCAGGCTACTCACAGGTATTTTTATTTATTTATTTATTTATTTATTCATTTATTTGCTGTGAAGTTGCAGCTGACATGGCAACCGCTTAGGTTTTTTCAAGGCAAGAGATGTTCTTGCATTCCTTGGTGGTCTCCCATCCAAATAATGACCAGGGCCAACCCTGCATAGCTTCCAAGATCTGATAAGTTCGGGCTAGTCTGAACTGTCCAGGTCAGGCCACAGGTCACATTAGCCGTGAACAAAGATTCTGCACACTTCACTTGTCTAGGTCTTTTTTGTCTGCTGTTACCATACAGTGTGATGTCACAGGGTGCTTTTCCTAATAAATATATTTACTTGACCTTAGGCATCAACATAAGCTGACTAAAGAATTGCAGAAAGCCCATCATCAACAGTTTGAGTTTAGAAATGGGAAAATTATCAGCTGTAGCTTTCCAAATCTTGTTTTGAGCGTGAAGAATTCGGACCTCCATTCTGGTACTGATGTGGTTTTGTTGGAAAAGAAATGTGAAGACATCACCCAATACTGGATATGGAGAGAGGATAGCAGGTACAAGTTCATTGTTAGAGTGTGGAATTTCACAAGGCTTTATTGGCCCTCCTAGTCTTATCAGCAGGTGGACTTTCTGTCAGGGTAGGTCAGGTTTCCATTTCACTTGTTCTGAAGTGCAGACATCATATGCTCTTCTAGCTAGAATTCTGTGTAATCCTTTCAAAATAAAAAGCATAGACAAATGGATGAGAAAATGGCCAACTACAAATTTTGCTTATGAAGGGTTCTACATTTAAATTATAAATACATTATGGCAGGGGTCATTTCCTGCAGGAGCGCACAGGAGCGGAGCTCCGGCAGTAAAGAGCCCAGGGGATGGGCACATGCAATAAGCTCCACCCCCTGCTCCCAGCAGCCCTCAGTCAGAGCAAGAAGCAGCCAGGTAAGTTGCAGAGCCCCCCCCAGCCCCCCAGTCCAAAACAGCCCAGTGGCACATTTAAGACCAAGTTTTATTCAGGTACAAGCTCTCCCTCCTCTGCGAGGACAGATCTGCACGTCCCCCCCCCAATGGCTAGGAATCCAAAACAGTCCAGTGGAGCCTGAGCCTTCTGACACACTTCCAGTGATGTCAGGGGGTGTGTCATATACAAATAAATTATGCTAATGAGTTGTGCTAATGAGTTCCGGCACCTCTTTTTCTACAAAATGACCCCTACATTATGGGAAATCCTTTTCTTCTTACCTCCTTATAGTAGAATTTATCCAAGCCTCCCTTTGGGGACACATTATAAGCTTCTTCAGATTCTCACTAAACCATCTCATGTGTGATTCACGGGGAAATTCAAGTCTAGCTGTAACTGCCACAACCCCTGTAGGTATGTGCTGGGTCACTGCTCTAGAATATATCACAAGAACACCGGTGCCATTCAGTTAGCAAACCAGCGTCAAAATATCTTGTGATGTAATCTTATACTCTCAATCACCTTTCTGCTCCTAGGACATTTCATCTAATGACTGACCCCAATCTAGTGTTAGCAGTATCAATGCCTAATATTCTGAATGGCTGTCCAAAGTTTCCATTGAAAATGCAAGGATGTGCTGTTATCATTCAGGTAAGGGACAGTTGTAATCTAGGTATACAGAGAAATTGCCAAATGATTACCTTTATGTATGTGTGTGTGTGTGTGTATGAAATACCACCATTAACAATTGTATGGTTGTTGTTGTTTAAAAAAGGGGGCTTTCTTGTATTCTAGAAGAAAATGGCATGTTGTTTCAGCCCTATATAGTTTGGGACCAATGTACCTGAAAAACTTCCTACTCCATTATTAACCTACCTAACCACTATGGTCATCTTCAGAGGCCCTGCTTTGAGTGCAACCGTTTTCTGAGATTAGATGGTTGGCAACCTGGGAGAGGGTGTTCCTGGTCATGGCATAAAAACTCTGGTACCCTCTACCCAGGAAGATTCATCCATCCCCTTCTTGTTGACTCCCTCTGCCAGTGGATGAAGACTTTTTTGTTTCATTTGGCACTCCCTCAGTGATCCCTCCTTTCTGCCCAGTTGTTTGATTGTTGTTTCTATGTTTGTGTAGGTGTTTTAGTTATTTTTTTAAATTGTAATCAGGGCTATTTTGGGGCAGGAACGCACAGGAACGGAGTTCCGGCTGGCTCCCGAGTTGGCCACGCCCAGCAGGAACTCATTAGCATAATAGGCCACACCCAACAGGAGAAACTCATTAGGACTGGCTACATTAGGGTTGTGTGGCCTAACATGCAAAGGGTTCCTGCTACAAAAAAAGCCCTGGGTTTTGACAACAAACAGGGTAAACAGAATAAGAAACAAAAGGTGAGTGTGGCTGGATGACCACACTTCTGGTAATGTGGGGTGTGGCATAATATGCTAATGAGTTGCTCTGTCAGGGGTGTGGCCTAATATGCTAATGCATTTCTGCTGTTGGGTGTGGCCTGTTATGCTAATGAGTTCCTGCTGTGCTTTTTCTACAAAAAAAGCCCTGATTGTAATGATGTGTTTTTTAGTTGGGTTTACAATGTGATGTTATGTATACTTTAATTTGTTAGCCTCTTTGGTGGCCCTTGTGAGGTCAGAAATGCAGGGATATACATTCCTTCAGCGGGAAGGGTGGGATACAAATTGAATTAAATAAATAAACAAACAAACAAATAAAACATAACAAAAGGTAAGGTTGGGAGAGAATAAGAAGAAGAGAGAAGGCTGCACCTCACCAGAGGCAGAGCTGACCCAGCTGAGCTCTGAGAAGCAGCAGGAGACAGAGCTGCTAGAAGGGTGAGTGTTTTTTATTTGCTTTCAGCTGAGGAGATTTAGCTGAGGATACTGTGTGGGAGGAATATGTTTGGGAGTGTGTGGATGAGTTTTAATTTGTTGCAGAATCCTGGCTGCTTGAGAAAGGGTGATTGTTTGACTGTAATTGGATTGCCTGGGTGTAATTTCAATATCTGCTGGCCCTGCCCTCTGCTGGGTGAGGCTTCTACTTAAGGCTGCACCTCGCCAGAGGCATGAGCTGAAGGGTGAAAGCCAAAGGGCTCTTAGACTAGGGACTCTTAGACTAGGGGCTCTGTAAGAAGCCCAGGAAGGACTAGAATGCCATGGCCCTAGTCTCCTTGTGTTCCCAGCAAGGTAAGTAGATTTCTACAAGGAGAACCACATAAATACAAAGGGTTTTAAAAGGGGGATTATATATAATTATTTTTTAAAAAGCAGTTATGAAGGCAGAATGCCAGTAGTGGGTTGGGGGCTATACAGTTTCTTGTACATAGTGTTACATGTATGACTATCTGCCCACTGGACAGAAGTCTTGGGTGTCCCGGTGCAAGGAGCTCCTGGTTCGCAGGACATGAGTTTACACCCTTGAAGCCAAGGTGGCTGACCTGGAAAAGCAGAGACAGTCAGCTAGGTGCATGGAGAAGACTCTCAGAAACTTGTTAGATATGTCCCACTTTGAATATGGCAGCCCCGATGCTGTCAAAGAGCATGTGGGTCGAGAGGAAACAGGGCATCGTGCTGAGGATAAGGGGAATGTGCCCTCAGAAGGGACCTCTTCCTCAGCTGGTGAACGGGTATCCTTTTGCACCAAGGAACCATCCCTGGGCAGGGAGGGAGGGGGGCTCTTGGTAGTTGGTGATTTGATCCTTAGGCAGGTAGACAGCTGGGTGGCAAACCCGTCTACTGACTGTATGGTGATTTACCTTCCTGGTGCAAAGGTAGCAGACATTATGCATGTTCTAGATAGGCTGGTAGACAGTGCTAGGGAGGAGCCAGTGGTTGTGGTACATGTTGGCACCAATGATGTGGGGAAATGCAGTTGTGAGGTTCTGGAGGAAAAATTTAGGCTTCCAGGCAGGAAACTCAAGGCCAGGACCTCCAAGATAGCCTTCTCAGAAGTGCTACCTGTTCCACGTGCAGGGCCAGAGAGACAGGCAGCGATCAGGAGTCTCAATGTGTGGATGAGACGATGGTGTAGGGAGGAAGGGTTCACCTGGCCCATGCCTGGTGAAACATGCTCCCCATTGAGATCAGGGCCCTGCAGGATCTTCTTCAATTCTGCAGGGACTGTAGAACGGAGCTGTTCCACCAGGCCTTTGGCTGAGGCAGCGGGCATCTGGGTATGGCCTCCTTGAGGTTGTTGTCACCCGTTTAACAACTGCTGGCTATCACTCTTGTGTTATTGGAGAGCCAAGGAATCCCTCACAACCAGCCAATTCCACTCTTAGGCTGTGAGCACCATTTTAATGTATATTACTGTCTATAAATTTTGGCTTTATTTATTGTACTACTGGATGTAGGGTGGGCTATAAATATGAAAAATAAAGAAGTAAATAAAAAACAAGTATTCTGTCCCCATGATTCATGCTTCTGTGGCAATGGCTTGACAGTGCTTATGAAAAGTATTTCAAAAGCAATTGTATCTGCAACAACTGTATGTACAACAATTAAAAAAGAAAGAAAAGAAAAATCGAACTAGTTTCTTGCCAGGTAAACCTGAATATTTAAAATAATCATTTTTAAAAAACATAAATGACTAGTTGAACAAAAATTGCAACGACTGGAAATCTTAAAATAAGATGGCAAACTTTTTTTGTTTGCAGAAATACAAAGAATGTATAAATGGTGCTGCCAATCAAAAGTGGAATTGCGTGGAAACAACAAAGGTTTTTAATGCCTTTTATAGCACAATATTGGACCAAGAAATCACAGCAGCAAATTATGCTTCTATTTGTACATTCTGTGTGACCAGCACAGAGAAAATAGATCAACCTGTAAGTAATTTTGTTCTGTATAATAAACAAAAGCAAAAACCTAAATCAGAGAAGTGATTGCTACACTGATGTAAGTATATCTCTTATGCAACTGAAATAGATAAATTAAACATTCTACTTCTATCTGTATAAAATGTAGAACTGGGAAGCACAGTTGACAGGAAGGACAGGTGGAAGGTGAACTGGCCCAAATTACTTTATTCAGGCACACACACTTAAATACACTTTGTTTTGATTCTTTTTCAAACCACTAGAAACACAGGTGATTATAATGAATGGGATCAGTCCAAAGTAGTGCCCCAGTATGGTTACACTTCCGGAGGAACACTAGGAAGATACCCATGTTAGTAAACATTGATGCTTGTCATGCTGTAGCAAGACCCACCCCTGTGAGAGGATCAAGGTGGGCTCTCACACCAAGTGATCTGGGGGTACCAGAGGTGCCCAGTCCTAAGACAGAAACCAAAGATGAATAATAAAGCATGCAGCAGGAAGTCGGGTATTCCAGGAACTCTGGATATCTCCCAAGGAGCAGACAACTTGATCCAACATATTCCCAAGCCAAAATGAGCTCGAATATTTCTCATCATGCTGCCACTTATCCCAAGCTGAGCCCCACCACCCTCATTTCCTTATCTTTCTGCTAATACAGCTAGAAGTATTGTTTTCTTTAAAACATGGGTACTGGGAATCATGAGGCCTATTGTGATGAGAGCAGTGGTTTCTTGGGAGTGGTGCCAAACTAGACAACAGTGACCTGAACGTCACTCTCCCCAGAGTAGAGATCCCAAGCTGGGTCTTCCAGTATACAGTGCTGGGGCTGGGTTCTTGGCACTGTTTTCTTTAGATACTGCATTGGAGCTGCTTTCCAAACTCATATCATGGCACTGTTTGAAGACTGACACAACATGGGGCCAATTCTGCACATCTTTACAACCTTATTATTGTTTCTGAACTCATCCAGATGACAGTTGCATGATAAGGACCTCCACAGTTGATCTCATCAAAGTGATAGCTGTGGGACAAACCCACAGGAAAGTGAGTCCCATCCATCTGGTTGCTTTAACATCTAAAGGGTGCTTTATGTTCTTTAAATCTATACTGTTGATAAAATAAAGTGTAGTATTAAACTACTTAAAATTGCAGAAGGTACATTAAGCAACACCAATATATCATCTTTTTCCCCCACTTTGATACCTACAGAATTTTGAACTGGAGAAATCTGTTACTGGAATAACTTGATTCTTATATCTGAAAGTTTTAAAATCGAACAATGTTTGAGAAGTTTGAATACAGACAAAAAATAATCAAGAGTCGATAATTCCAAGCTTCTTTCTCATCTTCATTTTAAAGATTTTCAACCATTGTTCTTCACAGGGCTACTATTTTCTTTCACCGGATAGGAAGAAAAAAGTAATGATATGCTTGGCTTGTGCAAGGGCCAAAAGAGGAAAGAAAGATCTGAGAAAATTGTCACCTGGTACAATGTTCTTCTGTGCATCTGGCTCTGAGGAAGCAGATAGTTTTTCCATGCGGCCCTTTAAGTGTCTTAATGTTAAGAAGGTATGTTTTATAAAATTGTGTCTTACCATAATGAATCATTTTATAACCTTCTTCTTTGAAGTGCTTTGAAATATTGGAAATCTGTACTTGAACCTGGAGATCAGAATTAAATTTTCAATTTTACTGGATGGAATAATGGTCTTTCTGTCGGTTAACAAGGGGTGTTATAATTTATTCATTTGGCCTTCAGTATGTAGCGATGTCCTGAATATAAAGGTGTATTTTTAAGAACATAAGAGCTCTGCTGGATCACACTATGAGTAGTACTCCAACATGCTGTTTCTATGAGCAGCCAAAAGACTGGTGCTTGCACACACGCAAGCACAAGCTTTTGCGCACCTCCCACATCCTCGAAGGAATCACGTGGGGAGGGGGAGCCTATTGGAAGGCAGCGCGGGAGCGCTGACCTATCAGGGAAGGCTGGCCAGCCAGATCTAGTGGTGGCAGCCATTCCCTATTCCATTCCAGACAGAGACGAGCTCAGGAGCGGAGCATCGGGGTGTCTGGGAAGACCAAGGGAGCCTCGTGGTGGATTGGACTCAGCTGTGGGGACGATGGAGCAAGGGATCAGGTTGGAGGGGCTTTGGGTTGTGTTTCATTCGAGAGGTGGGTGGGCAACTGATGTTTCTGTGAAGTCTATAAGCAGTACATGAAGTCTTGCCTGCTGCTTGCCCCCCTGGCAAACTGGACGTTCCATTTCATTATGATGGCTATTCCTTATTGATAAGTCCATCCTCCATCAATTTCTCCAGTCCCCTTTGAATAACTGTTGTCCTTAGAAGACTAGTTTCACAGTTATAATATATCAAGTGATAAATGATTTCCTCAAAATTCTTATAGCACTTTAAAATCCAGTAAAATGGAATATGGTTTACAGTGGCTTTTAGGAACACAAATACTGATAGCTAGCATCAGAAATATTACATACTAAGCAGGTTTTAAAGTTCTATTGTAAAAAGAAATGAGAAGAGAAGAGATTGGAGTTCAGTTGGTATGCCTGTCAATTGACTGGTCAGATATTGACCCTTGACTACCTGTTGCTTAAGGATATTATCAAATATTCCATGAAATCAAGAATGCTGAGGTAGAGGTGGCAGGTGTCTTTTATTTCATTGCGTTCTCTCGTTTCTTAGCAAAGGAAGGACTGAGGTACATCTGCTTCTGCTAGCTGTGCTGCAGTCAGAGGCAAGCAGAACCACATCAGAAAACTTTTCCTACTGGCTCTCTGCAATACTTGGAGGCATCTTCCAACGGACTTTTCAAAATAGTTGTTATCAATTAGCTTAACTGCTGTTTTAGTTTCATTTTTAAAAACTTTTGAAACTGTAGGCTGACTTTGGTATTCCAAGATAAAAGTCAAGTTAAAGGACTGTTTAACAAGTTTCTCATAGTTTTGAAAACACTTCTTAACATTGTTAAAAGACATCTAACAATGCAATTTTAAGAATACTTTCCAGGGAGTAAGCCCCATTGAATAAGCCTGGGTAGGATTTTGAATAGACCTGTTTTGGATTGCTTTCATATAACCCATACATTCACAGACAGTAAGTGGGGATTACACCATTGAAATGTAATATGTTTTACACTTTATATTCCAAATCAATGTTTTTCTGTTCTGATATGAGTTATGACCTGTTTGACATTTCACAGCAGAGATTCAAACAAATAATAAATCAATCTATAATTTAAATATGATTATTGAAGATGTGCTTATTTCAGGCACTGGGTTTCTGCTTATTTTAACAGAAACATCTGTCCAACCCCCAAATGCCTACAACCCTTCCAACAGATGGGGGAAACACTATCATATTATCACAGTTGGGTACACCATTGATTTTGCTGTACATTTTCATATTCATTTATAATTTCTGGTTTCAAATTAAATGAAACAGCTGCAGAAATTACCTTGCAAGAATGTCAAAGGATTTTGGAAATCTTGGCACAGCAATTTTAACAGCTATAACATATTTTCTTCACTTTTCATTTAATAAGACCCATTTTAACTTATATTATAAGGTCTTATTAAATAGATCTCTACATGAAGAAAAGACTATGATCCCTCAAATGCAAAAAAGGAAGTCTGTGATGAGAATATTTTATTATGTTTTCAGATCCCATAGTAACTATTGCAGTATGATCAGCATAGGTTGGTCACCCTTTCATAGCAAGTGAACTTGTTCATATGGCATTCACAGTTTGTATATTATTGATTATAGCGGTAGTCATTTTGTGCATAGAACCAGCAGGTTAGTCAGAAACCCTATGGACTGGATCCAGCCAGCTTTTCAGCTGGTGAAAATGGAGCAAGGGTCCCCATTGACTACCACCACCAAAAAAAAGAAAAAAGGCTATATTGGGGATCCTATGACCATCATAGGCAAAAGCAATGTGTAATGGAGGCTGCTTGTAAGGAGAGGAATTGGCCATGAGTGATTTAAAAAGCTGGCTGGATCCAATCCCATAAGCATTCTTCATAAATAGCTAATGTGGCCTGAAACATTGGGGACAGAGGCAAGGGATGGTCGCAGACTTCTCTATCTAAATGGCACCTCTGCTGCCAACAACCCTGTATGTAGGCTACTCAATAGACAGGTGTTGGCTGAATGAAACTGTGTCCCAGTGGACTGGATTCTCCATTTTATTGCACCAACACAGTGAGACTCTCTTTAATGAGGCATTAATTTGGTTGAATGACCTGAGCATAAATTATATACCAAGAGGAGCTAGAGAGAGAGCCAATATTTAATTCTGAAACATTTCATGGAGGTTTGCTCCACCGCTTCCTAGTCAGTCGTGGCATAGTAATTATGGAACCATACTTCAATGGAGTAAAGTTGTTCTGCTACATTTGTGGGGAGGGAGGGATGAGTTTGATCAGGGGATACTGTTGGCTGCTTTGGCTCAGCAGTCTTTTAGGATGATGTCCTAGCAAATTATAGGACTATGTGAACTGGGAAGGAGAAAACATTTGGAATCTTTCAGAAGTGGAAGCATACCAAAAACTACAGGTCCAGAAAAGGTAATTTTATTTTATAGTGGGGGAAAGGGAGAGGACATGAATGTTACCCAACTTAATATGATTGGCTAGCCATCTTGATACCATGAATTATTGGAATTACTTATCCATTTATTTAAAACATTTATATCCCACCTTTCCACAATGCCCAATATGGCTTACAAAATATAAACATACACAAATAAAGTATAACTAAACAGATGAATTAATATATGTTAGCCGAACTGCGGGCGTCGGCGTTTTTGTTTTTGTTTTAGTAAGCCCCATTGAATAAAATGGGACTTCTTTCTTTCTTTCTTTTTTTTAATAAAAGATTTTATTTTATTTTATAAAGACAGACATCACACAGAGAAAACACATAGATACATATAAATGGGGGTTCAGTTGCATCTTCAATTTACATATTTGAATACTTCATACCATATTTGTTTTCCATGTTCCACCTTATGTTCTTACAAAAATCTTTTGCATATTTTTAAATATAAGTTTTTGTATTCTATGAAAAGTTATATATCTGTATACCTAACTATTATATTCTTCAGCCCATTTTAAAATCTAAACCATGTAGTTTCATACATACACAAGCATTTACATTGGTATTTAAATAATAGGGGATTTCATTACCTCATCAAATTACCTGTTTAAATACCTCAATATTTGTTTTCCAAATTTCACCTTATATTCTTACGATGACCTTTCATATATATTTAAAAAATAATTTTATACTCTTTTAATACATTTTCCAATGTTTCAATTCATTTATAGAGTTTTGAACAGCTGTATAATAATTATATTATTCAGACCTTTATAAAATCTTGAAGAACTATGTTTTCTCCCTTATCCAAAAATTTGATGCTTGTGTATCTCTTATCCACAAAATTTTGGAGCTTTTCCATAGATTTTCATCCTCTTCTTCATTCTCTGATTTCTCCTCTTGTCTTAAAGTCTTATTTTTGTGCCTTTTCCCCTTTTAGGTGAGGCAAGTATCTTCTGTTTTTAAGTATCAGTTTTTAAAGTAGTTTGAGGTTCCATATATTCTTCTTTTCTCTCTCTTTGAGTAGGTATTTCATTTGCTGGTTCAATAATTCCATCTCTTGTTCTTTCATGGGGTCTCATGTTCAGTTCTTCTGTCAATTTGTCTCTTTTTGGATAAGTTTTGTAAATCATATCAGTTGGATTATAGACTTCATCTGTATCTTCTGTATCAATATGTTCCACAGAAATGTCATGTCAGTTTGCTCTTGCTTCTGATTGGTGCTCTGCCGTAAAAGTAGTTCAAGCTTAGGTTGTACATCCTTCATAGCTTTTACCACAACTGTTCTTCCTGCTGTTATGATTGTTTCCTGTATTAATTGTTTAAAGTCTGTAATCAACAATGTATCTTTGCCTGCACCAGCCATTTCCAAAATATCATGTTAAAAACAGGGGATCTCTCCAACTCTTTGTCAGTACAGCCTTTACCATCACACAACCACCTATACTTATACAGCAGATTTTATTATGGTTACATTAAAGAAAAACAGGAACATTCCCAAGTTAAAAAAAAAGAAAGTCTTTTGCATGGTCATTCAGTAAAACACCTTACAGTCATGCTACTTCTGTATTTGCAAAACAATAACTATTATAGTCATATTAAAGACTGAAGCAATTTCAACCAAGGCCACCATTCTTATAAATTGTTCATAGTACGAAGAAGTCAGAATGTACTCTTATAATTTCAACAAACCAAGATAAAGTATGTTATGAGAGTATAACATATAAAAACTTCAAATTAAGTTCCTGATCATTCTTATTAATTCTTCTTTTGAGTTGTGATGCTTATTAAGGTATAATTAATTGTAATCCTTTAAAGGGCCTTCATATAGTTCATGTAATTCCAGATAGTTTATTTGTAATTCCAAACAGAGGAGCTCTTCCCTGAAAGGCAAAGACAAATAAGATGAATATTTCCAAAATTTTGTAATACAGTATAGAATATTGAAAGATCAATATTTTTATTGGACAGTTTTTATCTCAGATCACAAATGTCTCCTTTTGCCAAAGGCATTTTAAAGAATGCTTTCAGATCTTTTCTAAGCCGCTTGAAGAAAGGGGGGGGATGGGAAGAAATTCTTCATCCCTCTAATCCTTTGTGTTTTCAATAGATTTAAAGGGGGCTTGATCACTGGGGAGTCTCTGATGTTGTTGCTTGTACATTTACTCATGGTGTTGGTATTTTTAAGCAGTTCAGTTGAAGTTTTCTGCTTCTCCCCCTCACTTGGGTGGTCACAGCTTCGTGTCCATGCCTGGCATGGGTGCTTTCAATCAGTTCTTGCCTTGGGGCGATCAAAGGACTCCCACCCACTTGCTGCCACTTGCAGGGAGTCCCAATCAAGCCCCTTGCACTGGGCTCCTCTTTGGGGAGCTCAGTGGAGTTCGGGAGCCCCTGAACTCTAAAAGCCCATAGATCTGGCCAGCAAATGGGAGAGCTTCCCGGTGTCGACCATTCTCGCTGCACCGTCTCCTCCTCTCCAAAATGGGACTTATTTCTGACAAAACATGCTCAGGCTTGCTCCCATATTACTTTTTTTTTAAGTTAATTTCATTGTTTCATAATATTAAACTAATCAGTTCTTGTAATTAACAAAAGGACAAAACCTTTTGACGATTATAAGCATCTTTGTGGTTGTTCTAAATAAAACGAATGCTTTTAAAATTACTTGACAGTTGATAGTAGTTGACTAGTGAATTGAAATAATCTCTTTTTAGCGATCCATCCTTAAATTGGAAAATAATTACACAGGGTTTGGGGGGGGGGTATCCATCAAGGTATAAATGGCAGAATGGGGTCATGGGGCTCTTCTGACCCAGAGACAATTGCCCAGCAAGGCTTCCAATTAGATTCCAATTAAACATTTATTTACTTGTCTGCCACTCTAGTAGAAATATTCATTATAATTGCATATATTTTGCTAAATACTCCTATAAATACTCCCCCACTAATTGATTAGATGCTAATTAAGCTGGATTTTTAAAATTATTGTTAGTAATCAATTTATTGGGTTTGATTGGTAGGGTAGGTTTTGTGGTTAGTGGGAGATTGTAGTCTCATTTATTTGACCCCTAGCCTATTTATAATAATTTCCCCTATTGTTGGTTGAACTATTTAAATTTCTAGTCTTAATTATTATATTGTGTTAATGAAATTAATAGTTATAGTAGGGTGAGCTGATTTGTGAGGGTGGGAAGGGATGGTATAAGGGGTGGATTTTTAGAGGGTAGCTGTTAACTTTAGGACAAGTAACTTTTGCTTGGTTGTCATTGCTGGGTGCTAGAGGATCCATCCAGGCCAATATTGCTGAGCAGGGGGGAACATGGAAGGGTTGGGGAGACTAATAATAATGGGGCAGAGGAGATATAGCTGTGGGAATAGGAGGTATTCCAGGAAAGGAAATGGAGATATGGTAATGCTTGGACCTCTTCCCACCTACATTCCATCCCAAGGAATGGGGGTTGTGGGACTAATACTGGTTACCCGTCTCCGACACTGGTGCTGTTTAATGCCAGGTCTATCAACAATAAGAACCCTGTTCTGTGAGAGTTTCTTGCAGAGCTTGATACAGATCTGGTTTATGTGACTGAGATCTGAGTGCAGGAGGATGAAACTCCTGGGTGCAGGTGGATGAAACTGTTGCCCTGAACCAACTTGCCCCACCTGAGTTCTCGGTCCTTCACCAGTCCTGGACAACTGGGGTGGGGGTGGCACTGCTCATGTGAAATACTTTTACCTTTGGGACAATCCCTGCCTGCAAAATTACTGGCATTGAATGTGTTGGCCTGGAGACTGAGGAGAGTTTGGCTATCTGGCTGGTGTACGATCTGCCTAACACAATGGCAGATCCCTGCCTGACATGTTGGATGCTACATAAGAACATAAGAGACGCCAGTGTTGGATCAGGCCAAAGGCCCATCCAGTCCAACACTCTGTGTCATACAGTGCCCAAAAATTCCAGGTGCCATCAGGAGGTCCACCAGTGGGGCCAGGACATTAGAAGCCCTCCCACTCTTGACCCCCCCAAGCACCAAGAAGACAGAGCATCACTTGCCCCAGAACCCCTATCTATACCTTGTTGCTAATAGCCACTGATGCTCCATATGCTTATCTAATTCCCTTTTGAAGCCATTCTGCTTCTATTCTGATGCTGTTTCTGGCTGAGCAGTAGAGCACCCCAGGCTATTAGTTTTGGGGCACTTCAGTGCCCATGCTGATGATGCAGTGTCCTCTCAGTGTCCTCTCACCTAGTGTCATCCATGAAGGCTCTGGGACTCTCTCAGTTTTTATCGACTCCCATGCATCAACAAGCAGGCCACATGCTGGATTTGATTTTTGGGATGGGGATAAATGTGGATCTGATAACTACAGATATAGTCCCATAGTTATACCACTTTGCCCTAAAAGTCCAGCTGAGCATGCCAAACCCTCCCTGTTTAGGTGGTGAGTGTATTTTTGCTCACCCGTGGAGCCAAATGAATCCTGAGAGGCTTCAGGATGCTCTGCGGGATCCAGTGCCCCTGGTGACTCATTAGATGAGCTGGTGGAGGACTGGTACTTTTTCTTTTTTTTAAACCCCCGAAGGGGTACTTTTATTGTTTTTCAATAGACTACAAAACTACAAAGAAAAAATAGGAAAGGGACTACATCTATGGATAAAGGAAAGATACCAACACTAACTAAAAACCCAAGAGTGAGATATATCCCAGTTAAACTAAATGTTAGTATTACATTTGTTAATAAGGCAATATACTTGTAGAGTTCTTGCTTTGCACTGCTTCTATGTTAGTAAATTAGTTATCTTGAGAAGACTTTCTGAGCATCTTCATTTCTTCAAAGAGCTATTTTCAGAGTCCTTTTGCCCCTAGCACCTTCTACACCCTCATGTCAAAGCCGCTCCATGATATACAAGAGCTGAGACAGCTAGAGCAAGTGTGGCAGCATACTTGTGACAGAGCAACAAGAACATCTTATAGAATGTTTATGAGGGTCTATGAGATGGCAGTGAAGGCCGCTAACAGACAATTCTATGTGGCCTCCATTGCATCTGCAAAGTTGTGCCCAGCCCGATTGTTTAGAACTATTTGATCACTTACTTCATTGCCACAAGGAAAACAAAATGCTAGGGGATTGGATAGTGGCTGTGAGGCATTTGCGACCTATTTTGTGGATAAAGTCTTATCACTCCGCCAGGACCTCCTGGCCACAGTAGATACAGTAAAGGAACTGAACGCCCCTTGTCCATCTTCAGATCTAATAATGGATCATTTCAGCCAACTGTCCAAGGAGAATGTTCATAGGGTTCTAACAGCTGTGAAGCCAACCAGTTGCCTTCTTGACCCATGCCCTTCCTGGCTGGTTAAGCCTGTGGGCAGGACAGTTGGGTCCCCCTGGGAGAAATCATCAACTTGTCCCTTTCCTCTGGGACCTTCCCAGTGGGGTTAAAGGAGGCAGTGGTCCGTCCCAACCCACACCCCCAGTGACCTCTGTTCTGTGCACAGAAGATGACAAAACCCCTACAGGATCTCCAGCCAAACTGGCCTGGAGAAAAATTGCATACGGACCCCAAAGTGGCAATCAGTATTTCCCTGGGCATGTAAGAAAGGGGCACAAGAACTAAGCACTAATACAACTCTTCCTACCCTCCCTCTTATGATCTGCCTAAGTTCATAGAATCAGCATTGTTGTCAGATGGCCATCTAGCCTCTGTTTGAAAGCCTCCAAAGAAGGAGAGCCCATCACTTTCCGAGGAAGCCTGTTCCACTGAGGAACCGCTCTGTCAGGAAGTTCTTCCTAACGTTTAGCCAAAAATTCTTCTGATTTAATTTCAGTCTATTGGTTTAGGTCCATCCTTCTGGGGCAACCGAAAACAACTCTGTACCGTCCTCTATATGACAGCCTTTCAAATACTTGAAGGTTATCATATCACCTCTCAGTCATCTTCTCTCCAGGCTAAACATACCAAGCTCCTTCAACCTTTCCTCATAGACTTGGTCTCCAGATCCCTCACCACCTTCATTGCCCTCCTCTGGACATGTTGCAGCTTGTCTATATCCTTCTTAAATTGTGGTGCCCAAAACTGAACACAATACTCTAGGTGAGGTCTAACCAGAGCAAAGTAAAGTGATACCATCACTTCGCGTGATCTGGACACTATACTTCTGTTGATACAGCCCAAAATCACATTTGCCTTTTTAACTACTGCATCACACTGCTGACTCATGTTCACTGTATGGTCTACTAAGACCCCTAGATCCTTTTTGCATATGCTACTGCCAAGACAAGTCTCCCCCATCCTATAATTATGCATTTGATTTTTCCTACCTAAAAGCAGAACTTTACATTTATCCCCGTTAAAATTAATTTTATTTGTTTTAGCCCAGTTTTCCAGCCTGTCAAGATCATCCTGACTCTGATTGTGCCTTCAGTATTTCTCTTTTAAGAAACTCCCATCCCTCTTGAACTCCCTTCTTCATAAGTATTTCTGATCATGGGATTCTACCCAGCATAACTTTAAGTTTTTGTCAAAATCTGCTTTCCTGAGGTCCAACCTTTATGTCTGATTACATAGAGATTTTACCTTCCCCAAGACTGTAAATTCCAAAAGTACATGGTCACTACTACCCACTACTTTCACCTCGTCAACCAGTTCTTCCCTGTTGGTAAGAATCAAGTCCAAGATAGCAGATCCCCTTGTTTCCCTCTCCACTTTCGGGGAAATGAAGTTGTCAGCAAGACAAGTCAGGAATTCATTGGACCTTTCATTTTTTTAGCAGAGTTGGACTTCCAATAGATATCCAGGTAACTGAAATTTCCTATGACTACCATGTCCCATCTCTTTGAGAACTTTGTAATCTGTTCTAGGAGTGTCTCATAACAAGTCCTCTGCCTGGCTTGGAGGTCTATAGCAGTCCCCTACCATTATATCACTACTATTTCTTACTCCTTTTATTTTTACCCAGAGACACTCAGCTCTTCCATGCTCAGATTCACGTATTTCCTCAAGTATATACCTCCTTTACATATAATGCAACTCTGCCCTTCCTTATCTGTCTGTCCCTTTTAAATAAGTTGTACCCCTCAATCCTAATATTACAATTGTGAGTGTCATCCCACCAAGTTTCAGTAATGCCTATTGGGTCATCGTCCCCTTCCTGTATTAGGACTTCAAGTTCTTCCTGCTTGTTCCCCATGCTCTGCGCATTAGTGAGACATCAGAAACCGTGTTTTATGCATCCTGAGGTTTTCGTTTCTGTACTTACCTGTGAGTTAATGTTACCAAGCATACCTGCCACTCCCTGCAAAACTTTAGAGTTCTTATCTACAGTTATTGGCATCATACTCGTCTTTGCATTTTTGTCTCACTCCCCAAAAAAGATTAGTTTAAAGCTCTCCTTATTATGGGCTGGGATGTCATCAGTATGCGGATGACACCAAGCTCTATCTGTTGATGGATGGCTGCCCAGACTCCGCCCCCAGAAAATCTGACCAGGGCATTGGAGGCTGTGGCTGGATGGCTACAACAGAGCTGATTGAAACTTAATCCAACTAAGATGGAGGTCCTGTACCTAAGTGGGGGGAGCTGGGTGAGGAATCAGGCTGCCCGCCTTGGATGGATGGCGCATCACTTGTGCCAGCCCAGAAGGTGAGAAGTCTGGGGGTGGTCCTGGAGACCTCACTTTCTATGGAAGCCCAGGTCACCACAGTTGCTACGTCTGCCTTTTATCTTCTTTGACAGATCAGGCAGCTGGCCCCTTAACTCTCCCCCAGTGCTTGGCTACAGTGACCCATGCAATGGTCACTCCCAGGCTTGATTACTGCAACTCACTTTATGCAGGCTTGCTCTTGCAGTTGATCCAGAAACTCCAGCTGGTGCAAAATGTGGCAACGCACACTGCCTATGTGGGCACACATTCAGCCGGTGCTGAGCCAATTGTACTGGCTACCGATTAATGGATCCACTTCAAGGTTTTGGTATTGACCTTCACAGCCTAGGACTGACATAACGTAGGCACTGCCTCTCCCCATATATGCCCTGGAGAGTCTTGCGCTCTGCTGAGCAAGATCTACTGACTGTCCCCAGCCCAAGGGACATCCGCATAGCCTCAACCAGGACCAGGGCTTTTTCTGACCTGGCCCTGGCCTGGTGGAACTTGCTCCTGCGTGAGATCAGGGCCCTGCCAGACCTTTTAGCATTCGGCAGGGCGTGTAAAATGGAGCTGTTCCACCAGGCCTTTGGTTGCGGTGGTGGGCGTCCTGGAAAAGAAAAAAGATCACACACACCCCACTGAAGACACCATCTATGTGCAGCCCGGATTAAACGAATTCTAGAGTCCATTGGCACCAGTACTGATGCAGTTTGTTTTTAAACGTTTGTTTTAATGTTTTAACTGGTTATTTATTATTGTGTTGTGTGGCCAAATGGCCCAACTGCTGTTGTGATCCGGCTTGAGCTCATTCATGGGGAGGGGGTGGAATATAAATTTGAAAAATAAATGAAATAAACATTCAATCACACCTTCATTAGTAGATCAATCTTCCCATTTGTAATTGTCCAGTTCCTAGTGGCACATGTGAAGCACCTTTCATATTCTTGTAAGGAGAGTAACCTTTGAAACCACAAGCTGCTTTTTTAGGGGGAAAATGCATTTAGTATCATTTTAAAGCAAAACTGTGATGAATTTATTTTTGTTATCTTCAAGACTAATTTGTCCACATGTGAAGCCGAAGCCACCTTGCATTATTTAGAAGAACTTCTGGCATCTTTGAGAACAGAAACCTCATCACGAACTCTCTCTGAAAAGGTGTCTCTAGCTGTGAACCAGAAAGCAGTGAAAATAATTGCATACAGAAATGGAGCTGGTTACCGAAATGGGCAGTTAATCATTGCTAGTACATTCCCTATGGTGAGTAACTACCATCCAAAGAGATAATCATAATGCAGTTGACAAGGACAAGCAGCAGGTATCAATGACAGAGATAAAAACAACTAGGATCTAAAATCTGTATTCCCCCATCATATGAAAGTCTGCAAATAATTTGTGTTTTAGGTCAGATCCAAAGCCTGTAAGAGTGTGCCATGGATCTGTTTTGTATTGGGCACAAATGAGGACAAGTAGCCTGTCGTTTTGATTTTGGTAGATTGAAGAGAGAAGTGACTCATGGCCATATCAGTGCAGTGGCACTTGAAAGTGGCCAGACTGAGTACCGGATCCATTTCAAGGTGTTGGTACTGACCTTCAAAGCGCTGTGTGGCCAGGGACCGACATATTTCCCAAAGGTGCCCCAGAGAGCCCTGAGCTCAGCAGATCAGCATCTGCTGGTTGTCCCTGGCCCAAAGGATGTCCAGCTAACCTCAACCAGGGCTTTTTCTTCCATGGCTCTGGCCTGGTGGAACATGCTCCCATTGGAGATCAGGGCCCTCCGGGAACTATTACAGTTCCACAGGGCCTGTAAAATGGAGCTGTTCCACCAGGCTTTTGGGTGAGGCAGCGGCATCCAATTATTCCATCTATTCCATCCCCTGTGAACCTTCCATCTTTGAATGGTCCATCAGCTGAAGACCCATAGTCTGTTCTACAGCCAGTGGCCTGGGTTTTGTGAGTACCGTATCAAACTGCGGTGCCATCTGTCTTGTTTATAGCTTTGTTTTAATCTGTTTTAACTATTTATTGTGGAAGATTTATTATGAAATGTTTTAAGTCTTATTGTGACATGTTTTAACTCCTGGGGTGATTTCCCACAAGCGCTGCTCGACGCTCACTCCTCCCTTTTGCCCCAATGGTATGTGTCAATTTCACACAAGTTGCTGCGCGGCTGCATTTTGCCCCGGAGCTTCGTGCGATTTTCCCCGTGTCTACTCAATCCTGTTTTTGGAGGACTGAGTAGACGCGGGGGAAATTGTGCGAAGCTGCGGGGCAAAATGCAGCCGAGCAGTAGCTTGTGTGAAATTGACAGGTACCATCGGGGCAAAGAGAAGAGTGAGCGCGGAGCAGCGCTTGTGGGAAATCACCCCTGTTGTCATCCGCTCTGAGCCCATTTGTGGGGAGGTTGGAATATAAGCTGAAATAAATAAATAAATAAATAAATAAATGGTGCTATGATGATGAAGGGGATATAGGACCACATCATCCCTTGAAAACTATATATGTAAAGAAAGTTTGTTTAATTTTCTTTAGTCATTTCTTGCTGGGTTATGGAGTATGTATTTGGATAAAGTTTAGGTTCCTTGTCTTGACCTCAAAGAAAGGTTCCCGTTATGGGAGATGTGCACAACCAAACAATCAGTCCTGTGGATCAACATAATGCATGGGAACTGATATGGTTGCTAATATTGTAATAACAGTAACCTCAGCTGTTTAAATCCAAAGTGTAGCTGTGTTTAGTCTGCTGCAACAAAAATAAACAGCTATTTTGTAACACCTTGAAAACTAACAATATCTTATTTCCCACATAAGTTTTAATGGACTTCAGTGCATTTTTTCAGATACTGTGAGTGGATCCTCAGTATGCAGACATTTTATGTTGGAGATGTGGAAAGAAAAAAATTTAGAAGGTACAGAGTGAAATACGACGTTTTGAAGAAATCCAGAGATCTGTAGATGGCAAAATAATTGTTAAAACATTTAATATCTGGTTTTAGCAAGCTTTGATTACACATTATTAACTCTCCCCCCCCCTTTTCTTTAGCTGCTATATTTATGTACAAAACAACTGGAACTCAACAGGACAGCTTGTAGGCTCTACACCAGTGAGGGAACATTAATCCTCACACTGCAAGATTTAGTCTTGTGGGCTGTAAATGATTTTTTCAGGAAGCAGGAATCCAAAAAAGGAGAAGAAGATGCCATTTCTGTTCCTGGTCCTGAAGGAAATGTATCTGCATTGCTTGTAAAAGGTAAAATATCTCAACAAATTCCAATTAAATATGGGTTTAACTGGTATGTAGATTATCTTACTTTACAGAGCCTACCTTCTTTTTGGTACTACAGCTGTAGGGATCATTTTTGCTGGTATGCTAGCAATAAATATCATAGAAATTGTTGTTTTCTCTTTACATTTTCATAAAAAATAATATATCCTTGGGGGAAAAGATGAGTGCTACTACATTGTATTTGAACATGTTTAATTATTTTCATTTTGTTTTAGAATGCTTCTGAATGTTCTATTTACTTTAGTCATTGGTACAATACATGTTATCATTAATCTTTTAATGGACCAAAAAATAAGTCATAATACAAACATACACATGTACAGAATCAAAGCATATAATCTGATGTATATTCATATAAAAAGTTATAATCCAGTACGCTATAGTCATCCACCAGTACTTGGAGAACACTTTCCCCTGCAATGCCATGTGCAAGAAACACTCCATTTAGCTAGAGCTTGCTTGGGGTGATTTTGATTTTGTATGGAGTAATGTCTAAGTGTGAAAGCCCTTTGGTCACCATTCCTTCAACAGTGTTATAGAAGCACCCCCAAAGAAAAACACAAGACAGCACTGTGAATGTTAATTAGTTTATTAATGGCTGATCTTCATCAGTTAAACATCCCTGAATTAAAGCAAGTTGGTGCTACCAAGCAGCCTACTGTGGCTACCAGCATTTTGAGCAAACCCACACTGGCTCATTTATCCTCACCTGCAGTCAAACAGTGTGTCAGCTGAGCCTCCGGCATTGCTGCCATGGCTGGTAGAAGGGGGAGATGTTGGTCTGCTTCTGTCCTGCTTCTTATGCTCTTCTTATCTATGTAGCCTCAGCTAGTGACCTTGGTACCTTGTTACTGCTTTCCTCTGGGAATGTTGACCTGTTAGCGCTTAGGCGAGCTTTTGCTGATGCTCTGATTGGACCTGGGTTGTCAGGGGGCCCCTTTGAAGTATGTATAACTCCCTGTTTTCTGGTAGTTCTAACACAGAATGTATGCACAGAAGACCTGCCTTTACTGTACTCAATAAACTTTACTCTTTTGAATGAAAGTTGTTGGGAATTGATTGCTGTGCGAGTCTGACACAGTGCTGACAAATGTCAAGCCTCATTTTTCATGTGCTGCTTAAGCAACTAAGGGCTCAGTTGATGCTGCTCAACCACCAAGGATGGTCCCTCCCCAGCTCACCATACTGCTTGAGTGAATGATGGTCTTGGGAACAGCCCATCGTCCTTAGATCACTCAGGATGCTTGCCTGCCCGCTATCCCTACCCATACTTAACAAATCACACTATGCCTGCCAAAACTAGCTATGGCCTATCCAGACAAAAGACTGTGCCTAATTACAGGATACTGTGGAGGGACAAGTGAAAAATGCCCCCTTCCCAGCCAATCTGAAGGAAGGCCCCAAAACTTTCTGCTTGACCTCTCAAAAGGTGACCATCTATTCCCACATTATCCACAGACAGGGTGGGTGGGACCAGTCACAGCAAAAGCCTGCTGAACAAGAAGGGAAGAACACAACAGCTTCTAACACTCTTATGATTGGCTTAGGCCCGTAGCTACAGTGGTGCATTTTGGGGCCCAGCCCCCCAACTTTCCACCAGGGCCCCCCAACTTACCACCCTGTTCAGGCCCCTGACTTATTTCCCACACTTGCTGCGGCTGCTAGGGGCAGTGGCAAGCCTCATGCTGCCCCTCACCCCAACTCTCTGTATCTGTCTTCAGCAAGGAAAGCTGAGGTTTCCTCTTGCCGGCCGGAAAAGCAAGCCCTGCCTCCAGTCCTACGCTGCTAAAGGTTAGCAGCGTAGGACTGGAGGCGGGGCTTGCTTGCTTTGTCGGCTGGCAAGAGGCAAGCAAAAGAGAGGCAACAAGCTCTACCCACCCACCCTGTTCAGTCTCAGCTCCCTCCCTTCACCTCACACTACCCCACTTATTACTTGGAAGTAAGTCCACTTTTATTCACTGGCACTTACTCCCAGGAAAGGGTTCTTAAAAAAAATTATGCCCCCCGAAAAATTTAAATGCCCCCTGAAAAAATAAATCCTGGCTATGGGCCTGGGTTGGCTGTTCTGCACAAGGCAGGAAGTCACTCATCAAGAGCCAACCATGGTCTCATGTCTTAGTTAAAACTGGGACTTCCACAAATCAGGAGCCCAATTTATAGGCTGGGAACAATCCTAGTTTGAAACTTGCACTTTTGAAAGTTAGGAGTGTTTTGAATGAAAGACAAGATCTTGATCAAGCAAAGATATCCAGTGCAAACTTACATTAAAAAAACTAGATCAGATATGTGACTAAGCCATCTCACCTGGGAAAGAATGACCAAAATGCGAGGTGTGTGTGTGTGTGACAGACAGACAGAGAGAACAGAGGAGAAGGCAGATTTGGTGAAGTATCCCTGAGTCCAACTTTTCTAGATTTTTCTTTTAAAGGACATGCAGCCATGCAACATAGAAAGAAAACGTAACTGTGTAAGCAGATTTCTGTATCTTTACTGTCTCTTGTTAAAAATAGCAATTCCTGTCTGGTGTGGTATTGACCTAGTTTTTTAACAGTCCAATCATATATTTTCTTTGAATAGAGCTATATATTCAAAGATTAATTTTGATCACGGTCTAAAAACAAGAGAGCACTTCCCCCATTTATCTTTTTCATGTGCTTTTAAATTTATGTCTGGTTTACTTTTGTTGTTCTTTGCTTGCTTAGATTTTTTCTTTTATGTATCTTTCTTATATATTATTTCCCCTTTATCAAATATACTTGGCCAAAAAGGTCTCATCCTATCTGTTTTATTCCATCTCTCTTGACTATTGATTTCCTAAACAGCATGTTAGCCCACAAGAAGCCTCTCTTTGTAAGTTTACTGGTGCTTTGTATTAAGCATCCTTCAGCTTCTTATGAAGTTTCCAGATTCTTATCCCATCAGTTTAAAACTTAAAGAAAAGCTAGGAAAAGTCTAAAAGCCAGGCTTAATCATCAGTTCAGCACTGTACTAGTTAGATAATTGCCCATCATCTCCTCTGAGAAGGCTAGTTCTTTTTGAAGCCTAATAAATATAGCTAATACCTATCTTAAACTGTTAATTCTTTATATTTAATGGAGTTACTTATATGACATATAGAACCTAAGTTGTCAGCATGTGGGGGATAATGGCAGCAAGATTAAGGTGAGAACTAGCATGGAAAACAACAAAATAAGAATTTGTTAGAGGAGCAAAGTATGAGGCCACGGGTCTAGTTCCATGGTTCATTTGGCTCTAGTAACACAGTCTATATGATGAGCGTAAATCTTAATCCGTAGCAAGACAGTCAGCTGCTATTTTAGCAACGGAACCCAGTATCTGTACAGTTGTGAACCAAAGTGAGCTGTGAACCAAACTGTTTATTTATTTACTTCATTTATACCCTGGCATTCTCCCTAATAAGGACCCAAGGCATCTTGCATTGTTCCCTCCTGCATTTTATTCTCACAACAACCCTGTGAAGAAGGTAGGCTGAGAGTATGGGACTGGCCATGTTCACCCAGTGAGTTTCCATGGCAGAATGGGAATTTGAACCGGGGTCTCCAGTATTCTGTTCTGCCACTCTAACCACTACACATACTGGCTTTCAGTGCAGAGTTACTCTAGTCTAAACCTGCTGGTCAATGAGCTTAGACTGAAGTATCTGTGCATAGGACTACACTGTAATTCTCTAGTGTATGACTGTAAACTTAAATACAGTACTACTTGAAAGGGGTGGGACAGCCCTATGATGAAACTGAAGCAGCTAAAAGATAAACTGTGCCTCTTTTTTCTCTGTCTATACCAAGATAAGCCAGCAGAGGAAGTGAACATCAAGTGCACATCATCAGTGAGGACCCCAGATAGTTTGATCGATGATAATTTGCTCACCATCATTCTTAGAAATCCTATTGAGGTCTGGGTTTCCAGTGGAGAACCTTTTCTGCCTATGGATAGTAAGTTATGGAAGAAAATAAACATTTTGTTGTAATGGTGGCATCGAAGCACAAATATTTCTGTGTTGCTACAATATAAAATGTAAATATTTGAATACATTTTGTCAAGCTTCAGAGAGGTGCTTTTGGTGTGCTCAGTTTCTGTAATGTATCCAGCCCAGACAAGTCCAGACATGTCCAGAGACAAACGTCTAGCTTCGCTCCAAGAGACAATGGACTATGTGGATCCTAGCCCGCTCCAATCAGGGGGCTAGGTTCCTGACCGAGAGTCAATGGGACTCTCGGCCACTGTAAATAACCTATTGGGAAGTGGATGTGTGTTTTGGGTGGTGGTTTCTTGGGGAATATAAGCCGGCCTACGAGCCAGCCAACGTAATCTTGTTCCTGATCGAATAAAGTACGCTTTGCTGAAATCACTCTCCGTCTGCGTACTTTTCAGTTTCATTTGAGCCTTTTGAATGGCAGACTTCATGCCAGCTTACAAAGAGTCTTGATGTGCGACATGTGTAACTGCCATTCAAGAAACACAAGTCCAAAGCTGCCTCAGGCAGGGAGAGGTGGTCTTGTAGTTCTTGCTTGTTTTTGTGCAGAGTGCTCTCAAGTTGTGGCTGACGTATGGCAACCCTGCAGGGTTTTTGAGGCAAGAGACATTCAAAAGTGGTTTGCCATTCCCTTCCTCTGCATAATGACCCTGTACTTCCTTGGTCCTCTCCCATCCAAGTACTAAACTAGGACTGACCCTGCTTTGCCTCTGAGATCTGATGAGATCCGACTAGCCTGGGCCATCCAGGTCATGTTATAGAAGAAGAAGAAGAGATTGGATTTATACCCTGCCCTTCACTACCCAAAGGTGTCTCAGAGCGGCTTACAAACTCCTTTCCCTTCCCCTCCCCACAACAGATACCCTGTGAGGTAGGTGGGGCTGAGAGAGCTCTTGACAGAAACTGCTCTTTTTCAAGAACAGCTCTTATCAGAACTACGCCTTGCCCAAGGTCATCCATCCAGGTGCAAGTGGAGGAGTGGGGAATCAAGCCTGGTTCTCCCAGATTACAGTCCGTGCACTTAACCACTACACCAAACTAGTTCTTAGTATCTACAAAAATCAGGTTCTAAAGTTATGACTGATGTAGATGCCAAGAACTGGCATTTATCGACACGTTACGTAAAATCAAAACAGTTGCTTATTGTCTGCCCTATCCTAGGAATGTACACTCAGATCAGTAGGATCTGCTTCCTCAAGTGTGCATTGTAGCCATTGCCTAACTGTGTGTGCAGAATGTGAAAATGGTGGTGCTCTGCTTTTTCATGCCATGCAAGATTCTACATACACAGTCTTAAGCCCTACAGTCCTTCAGTTTCTTATGGGAATGCTTACCTTTTAATTACAAGTTTATAATTGAATTTGTTTAGCTTGCTAACAGTATCCAATGCTTTTAAAAACTATTTGCTGAAATAGATCCAATTATGCTAGCCGCTAATCTTTATAGGCTCTGCAGTACAAAATGGCTCTGAAAGTAAGTAGTAGAAATAATGTGTATTTTTATTACAGCTCTGCAAAATGCAGAAAGGCAAGAACAACAAAACTGGTTGGAAAAAGATAGAATTCTGGCAGACTTAGACACGATGAAACACAAAATGAGACAACTACAAGGTTAGTAGCTCAGTGTAAATAGAATTAACATATTGCCACTTTCATTTTCTTTTACACACACTTGCAGGGGTTTCTTCCCCCCCCCCCCCAATTTTCTCTTTCTCTTCCTTGAAAGCTCCCATACATTTTCCTGGCTCCTTCTCTCCTTCCCACCCACCAGCCAACCTACCTTGATCTCCCCCCTCCATCTTCATTTTTCCTAACTTCCTTTTCCTGGCAGCTTCTCCCGGGAAAAGTCAGACTGAGTTGCACAGTGCTGCCTATTGGGCCAGGCCTAGTTGTGTGGTGGGGAACCTGCAAGGACTTATGAGGGGCAACAGCTTATCCTGTATCCATTTCCCTCCTCCTGGCAGCCCCTATATCTTCACCTTTCTCTGATTCCTTCTCCTTCCCTACCCATACACCAACCTACCTTTTGTCTGCTCCCCATCTTCAGCTATATTTATTTACTTACTACATTTATACCTTGCATTTCTCCATAATGTGGACACACAGCAGCTTATATCATTCTCTTCTCCTCCATTTTATCTGAGAGTGTGTGACCGTCCCAAAGAAATGCAGAACTTTCCATGTCAGAGAGGGGATTTGAATCTGGGTCTCCCAGATCCTAGTCTAAAACTAACCACTATGCCATACTGGCTTTCATGAGATGGCTGCTGTTGAACAGTATGAACAGCTGGGCCTGGGTGAGTCATGGAAATTGTATGGTGTCCAATTGACTAGTGGTTGCTGGTGGGCCTGGCCCCAATGAGTCCTTTCTCAAAGGCCAAACTAGCCCTGGGAAGGATACTGTCCCTACTCCTACATTTTGCAGACAGAAACCAAGGCCTCAACTGACAATACTGTTATAGTCGCCTAGCAACAGCCACAGAGGACATTTGTTTCTTAAAGCTACAGATCCTGCTTTTATTACTTTGGGGGTCTGAACCTCCCAGTGTATTTTTTTTAATTTCAGATTTTTTTTCAGAAGGGTGGACTCTGTGGCATTATACCATGCTGAGGCCTCTCCCTTCCCAAATCCTCAGACTTCGTCACAAAATCACCAGGAATTTCCCAATCTGGAGCTGGCAACCCTAGCCAGGCCTGGCTCCAATGAGTTCTCTCTCAAAGGCCAAAATAGGGCTGGAAAGGACCCTCCCCCTACCTTTTACTGATAGAATCAAGCTTGGAATGCTGTGATTGCCTAGCAACAGCCACTGAGGGAATCCTTTGCTTAAAGCTACAGGCACTCCTTTTATCATTTTCATATTTTTTATGCTGCCCAGTGGGTTGTGGTTTTTTTTAGATTTCACATTTTTCTGCAAACCTAGGGCCCATTTCAGGTTTGTAGAAAGAGCTGTCTTGCCTGTTCACAGCTCCAGTAACTGGATTTAAGTATCTCTCCCTTATTATAAAAGAGTTTTGGGTGCCAGAATTCTAAAATTGGCCCCTTTAGTGTTAGGCCAAAAAAACTGCCACTCGGAAGACACTGGCTGGGTTCATTGGCTGCTTTGTGCAGTCCCGGCCAGCGTTCCAAGGTCATTTACATATGGAAGCTGATTGGACTACACTCCATTCCACACCTCAAACTCACCCCCCATTCAGTTGGGAGAGGAGAATGATGTCAGCTGCTCCCTAGGCAGAGGCTGTGTGTGTGTGTGTGTGGGGGGGTTGTAAAGACAGACAGGCAGATAAACGTTGGCTGATGGTTGCCAACTCCAGGTTCGAACTCCAGGACATAGGGTTGCCAACTCCAGGTTGGAAACTTCCAGGATATTTTAGGGATGAAGCCTGCTGAGGGTGGGATCTGAGGAGGAGGAGGAAGACCTCAGACAGGGGGACCTCAGACAGATACAATGCCATGCTGCCCACACTCCAGACAAGCTGTTGCCAGTCTCCAGGTGACAGCTGGAGAGATCTTAAAGCTTTGGTGCTACTTCAAAGTTCCCCAGAAGCCCAAAACAGAGTAGTGTTTTGGGAAATCTTGAGGAATTGTTTGGTGCATTTACGATGGGGCTCCTGGGGAACTATTGTTGCCAATCTTGGCCCAGCAGCCATCAAACCATTCTCTTCAACCCCCTGCTGTGCAGCTGAC